CTGGCAAGTATCCTTGGCTACACTGAAGTTAGTTAGTGTAGCGTGTGGAACTGTCCACTGGGTACCAGTCTAGCTTATCTGGCCAAGCCGTCTCCAGAAAAACTTGTTGAAAATGCTATGTACATAGCCTCGTTGCGCCATCTATCGCACGCCATATCTTCTAGAATAATGTTGGGGCATCAAACACAAAAAATTGCCACTCACTTTTCTACAGGAAAACGAAGCGTGCCGAGCAGCGAACCAACAATTACGTCCATTTCTAGGAAATGTCTAGCTACGTGCGTAGTCAAAAGGCTTGTGGAATCGCCACAACTGCTGAATTGACCAATTATGGAGCAATGTTGGTCTATAGTAAACCTGTTCAGATTTACTCCAATCCAATGCAGCGTAGTTGTGTTAGTGTGCCGCTATGCAGCGTTTTGCGCGAGATCCAGGCTGCCAATTGTCAAGGGAGATTTTGTGCATTTTCGTCTCAAATGCGAGCGCACTGGTCCATTTCAGCGACTTTCTTATGATATCATTCAACACTATACTATTATTAGCGGTAAAAAATGTTACAGCGCTTACACATGTGTGCGGTATGAACCTTGTTTTGTTTTTCGACATGCACAAATACATCGGAATTTTATACAGTACACAGTTAGGTTAAAGGATAGAGATCATGTCCAGGACGGACAAAACAGTAATGAACATCATGCTATCCTATGACCGTCTAGACCGAATAATTCTCTCCCATATAACCTTTATATTTTGGTGATGGTTATTGGGACAGAACGGGGTTCATTAAAATTTCGTGAAATCGCATGCAAAATGCATGCGCTGCGAATGCGGCCCGTACGCCGCTATTGGCGCGAAAAAAAACCTACCGTTCCCTTCTACATGGCTTTACCTTGCTACTCTTATGTGTATACATTCACTTCAATTGTTATTCACTTCTTAAAAGATTGTTTTTCAGAAATCCCGCTTCATTTAGCTTTAGTAAATTACGTTCGCCATTTACAAACAATCAGACCAATCAGAGAGAGTCTATCAGCCCTTCTGCAGCGCCACAGATACAAGCGAGCTGAGAACAATATATATATATTGTATATGTATATATTGTTCTCAGCAAGCGAGAACCAGGGGCTTTTGTAAGCCTCGCTCTGATTGGTCTGATTGTTTGTAAATGGCGAACGTAATTTACTAAAGTTAAATAAAGCGGGGTTTCTGAAAAACGATCTTTTAAAAAGTGAATTAATAACGATTGAAGTGAATGTATACACATATCAGTAGCAAGGTAAAGCCATGTAGAAGGGAACGGTAGCACAGGCACTTGGGCCATTTCAATAATAAAATGATGGTTAATAAATACAACTTGTCAGTACTAGACCTACCAGTAGGCAGTACCAGTACCAGTAATAGTCTTATGTTTGATTTGACCTAATAGTAATAACGTCACTTCAATACCGTCCAATACACCGCTGCAACACATAGCGCGCACAGAGGCACTTGAAGCGTTTCAACTGTAAACACACGCCGCCGCCATTGCGCGCACACTGACACATAAATATATATTTTTTTATGTGTCAGTGTGCGCGCAATGGCGGCAAGTGCCTGTGAGCGCGCACGCCATTGTGCATGCACAAATACACAGTAGTGAGTAGGTTAGAGTGGCACACTCTAGGCACACTGGTAGGTAGGAGGCACACTCTAACCTACTGTAAAGTGCCTGTGGGTTTTAGGGTATATTTATGACATCTCAAAATTTTGTAACGTATCTTACTGTATCCCTGTATCTTACTGTATCCCTGTATCTTACTGTATTACTATTACTGTATAATTTAAATTTTGTACGCAGTGGCTACGGGTACGGTAGCCGTCGGTCGTTGAAGCCCCTTTTTGGCGTTAGGGTTAGGGTTAGGGTTAGGTTTAGGGTTATGGTTAGGGTTAGGTTTAGGGAATAGGGTTAGGGTTCTAGCTCATCTAAACTCTCAAATCGTGAATTTATTTCCCAATGCGTTATTTCGAAATCTAGCGCCACCGCCGCCATCTTTGTCTCGTTAAGTATGGAAGCGAATGGACTCCCGTACCCGTAGCCTCGAGACATTAAGATACGGCTACCGTACCCGTATAGCCACTGCCAATTTTGTAATGTAACCTACTGTATCCTTCAACCGCAATGGCAACTAACTGTCAACAACAACATTGTCTAATAACTATAATAATATTGTTTACTATTTAAATGTTCTCTCACCGATGAAAAGTAATCTTTGATGCCTTTGACGCCTTAGATATAAAAACTTTACAGTTGTATGCACTACAACGCCGTGGCATGATATGAAATATCCGAACTTATACAACGGCTCGGATATTTTATGCATCATGATTGGTCAAAACGCGTCACGTGACACGCCGTTGACGTTGTTATAATGCACGCCAAACCGTGTAAAAAAGCGCGCAAAAAAAGTTATATTGTACGCTCGCGATTATGTTAACATTTACAATAATTTAAGCGCCGTGGCTATGTTTACGAAGACGTAAATACCTTTATTTTTTCTATATTTACGGATTTGCCATCATGCAAAGCGCCGCGGACAAGTGCAGCCCCAACATGTTTACATCCGCGCATGGGAAACTACCTCGAAATTGTGTACTGTTTTTGTGACTAATCAACTTAGATTTACTCGTCCTGCTATATGCAAGCACACAGAAGAATGATCTTGGGCCGTCAGCCGTCAGCCGGCAGCCGTCAGATATAATAATATATGCCGGCTGCCGGGCATAATAACAATCCACTCTGTCAATAATAAGCTCCGACATGTTATAAATTTAAATCAGTTGTTTAAAATCTCTCTGTATTTAAAAAGACAAAAAAATATTATAGATCTGTAGATGATAAAATCCTTGAGTGCTCAGGTCAGCCAGGGATAGAAAATAGGTGGTTAGTCAGTTATGACATTGTGGTGCCATCTATGGGGAGAAATAAATTCTTGATTTTTGTCGTGAGTCACTATAACAGTAAAATCCAACCTGTTAGAGACACTAGACCCTCACTAGACCCTCATAAGTGATAATCTTCAAAAGTCCTGGAGACTATAACGAAGATGGAGAGAGTGGATCAAGTCGGTAG